TATGACCGGATCCCACGCAACAGTCTGTGGACATGCCTTCGTACGTACGGGATTGATGGCAAGTTGCTAATTGCCATCCAGTCACTGTATTCTGATAGGAGGTGCTATGTCAGAGTTAATGGCGTTAAGTCGAAACCATTCAACGTTCGCACAGGCCTCAGACAAGGCTGCGTCCTGTCCCTTGTCCTGTTTGTGTTGTGCAGTGGTAGAATAGAGAGGAGGTGCCAAGGCGATGAGTGTATCGGCGTAGGAGATGTGAAGACGAGAAGGTTGCTATTTGGAGAAGACCTTGTTTTATTAGCATCTTCTGAAACTGATCTTCAGTCCTCCGTAAAAAGGCTCACAACCGAGTGCGACGTAAGCGGCATATGTATGAACGCGTCTAAAACGAAAAGCCTAGTGCTTTCTCGTTCTCCTGCCCGTTGCTCTTTTCAGATTAACGGAGAGGCAATGCAACAGGTGGAGAAGTTCAGATGCCTGGAGATTGTATTTCCTAGTGATGAAAAATTGGAAGAAGTTATCGACCGGCGAATTGATGTAACCAGTGGCGTTCTGCATGAACTGGCCCGATCAGTTGTGTCTGACGCTGAGCTGAGTCTGAATGCTGTGCTCTCGGTGTTCAAGTCTGTATTTTTTCCCATGGTTATGTACTGTCATTAGTCATGGACCATGACTGAAAGGCCACGAACCAGCGTAGAACTGCTGAAATAGCCTTTCTTAGACGGGTCGCTAGCCTGGTCCGGAATACAGACATCCGAAACAGCCTTTGCTTCTCCAGATTGACAAGTCGCAGCCGCGATGGTTTGGCCATGTTTTACGAATGCCTCCAGAAAGGAAGGCTTAAGAACTGTTTATTGCGAACGCGATTGGCAGAAGACCCAATGGCACGGCCAAGATTTACTTGGTGCAAGTATATGGAAGGAGTCTGTTCCAGACTCAAGTTGTCTTATCCTGAGGCCCAGACTCTGGCACTTTATCGGGTACGTTGTAAGCTCTGTCTGACGCCTCTGCCTTTGCGACCCTAAAGGAGAAGGTTCGATGGAGGATGAAGATGAAGACTAATAATGGGAGATTCTTCTTGCAACTGCTGGTTCTTCAGTTAGAGCTCCTTCATGTCTTTTGTGGACAGGATGCAGTCGTCTGCAGATAACAGGTGCATTAGTATTTCTTCTAGAGCGTTGATTCCAATTTGCACCAATTTAACCGATTTAGGAATGATTCAAAAGAAGCGGAGATGAGTGCTGGTGAGATGTTGTCTCTTTGAATCATGTTTCAATGGACACTGATGCGGCATGGTTCTCTGAACATCTGATGTCAGTCGTGCAACCGGTGTTCAGTTCCTCGATTACCTTTGCGTAGACAGGTTTTATGCTATGTTTGTTCATGAAGTTTACCGCAGCCGTCTCGATTCTGTCGAGTCGAACGCTTTTTTTTATAGTGGGTGGAAGGAATACTGTGTGCCCCTGGATAATTTTGCATATTTCCGTCAGCTGGTGGACCATATGTGCGCTGTCGATATTATAAATCCCGTTATTAAAACTGGCCTCTTTCTGACTTATGATTTTTTGAATGTCTTACGTGAATACGACCTGAGCACGGTTAAAAGTAATACCGGGGAAAACTTTTTGCATGTTATGCATATGTAATTTCATGTAGTTCCGATATTTATAACGTAACTGATTTAGTATACTTCCCGTGTAACGTTAAGTCCTGATTCAACATGCAAACATACGAGTGACGGTTAGCCGTCTATTTCAAAAGCAAAATATACCTTAAATTTCATGTAACGCCTTTACGGATCGTTATCTCGTTTTGCTTCCTGCAGTTTCCGCCTTATGACAAACAACTTATTTGCCTGACAGTAAGTATCTTAATCTTGCGTTGTTCCTTGCTGTTTTACTTATGTTTCGTCTTGATTTCTTTTCCCCTTCTTCCACTTGTTGTACCCGTTCTTTTTCACTGGCTGATACCTCGAAATATCGGTCAAATTACAGTATGAATTGCAAATAACTGTCTCTGACAGCATAATTTTTTATGAAGCAAATAGCTGGTCAGCCAACTGGCTGTTTTCTGTCAGAATATAAGATTTGCAGCGCACTGCATCCTTTGAAGCGTTTGCTCTTTCCTTGTAGGAAATGAGGTGTTATCATCCCGTAGTTGCAGTACGACTGGTTATTATTAAATTATTAGTCAATGCGCTGAGACTGTATGAAACCTACATATTCATAACTTCACACGCCATGAGAAAAACTGGTTTCTAACCTTTCACAGCCTTGTTATCGTATAGATATTGAAAAATTCAAAGTTTATTACGTTCATGGCAGAGCTGGAATTTTCTTGTGGTATTCTGTCAGTTTCTTTACTGGTTTTCGGCAATTTCTGCATGTAATTGCTTAATATCTGTTGCTAAATCCGTTATGCAATATGCCAGTAACGCAGTCGAACCGAGTATGTTGGTTTCCTTACATTATGGCATTCATCATTTTGTTTCTAGATGGCTAGCAGATCATTTTGAACGGCTGTTTATTCCCGGTATTTAGTGTTTGTAGTGCGTCATTGCACCTTGCATAATTGTGTTGTTGGCTAGAACAGTGCGCTTCTTGTCGCCGGCCGAAAAGCAGTAAGAACTAGCGTAACTCGATACGTTGTGAAGCACGGTGTGCTAAGGTCTGCCGCGTAATGGCGTACTCCGGTTAGGCTGTTATTTGCTCCTTTGTACAGTTCGTCCGTGTTTATTATATATTATCTTCTGTTGAGCATCATTTCACCGCCTTTGGTGGATCACGTTTCTCTATGCATTAGGCAGGGTCTTTGTAATTTTCAGAGCTGTCGTTATGATTAGCGATTTTTTCCTTAGTCTGTAATTGCCATTTATTGTGATCTGTGATTCACCTCTCTATTTATTTCAGCCACTGACCGCCAACAACGGTCTGTCGTAAGATTGCGTGACGGTCCAGCGACGAGAAAATCCAGTGCCACCCGAGGTTCGTCGCGCTTTCGTCGGCTAAAGACTCTCGCCCTCCGTCAGAAACATATTTATTTTTGAAATCGGCGTCGCGGGCGGACAGTCAGTCGAAAAGTTTGATTTCGTTATCCTATTTCTGATTGTTATCGTTTGATGCGGGTTGGTTTTTTTGGCCATTTGTTTGTTTTCCTTGGTTGTTCTCTCTTATATCGTTTAAGTAAAAACTGTTGTTTGTTTTATTTCCAGTTTCAGTACGTTAATCATAATGGTGGTTGTTTTCAGTGTGCGTTTACTCTCTCCTCTTCGACTAACAGAACTATGTCATGTTCAGAGTGCAAGTTCAGAGTTCAGAACTATGTCATGTCACGTTCAGAGCTGATTAAGTGCAACTAGTTCGGGTCATTTCTGAAGCAGATATTAGAACTGGAAGTCTCACTTATAACTTAAACGATTTCAAATTGGAGTCTAGAGAGTGCGATGGGGCAGAAGGCCCTATCTAAATTATTTTTTGAAGGTATTGAGACAGAGGTACTGTCCGAAGTGCCGAATACAGAGTCCCTCATATTGATAGGCGATTTTAATGCGCACGTCGGAGTAGACGCTGAAAAGTGGAACGGCGTGATTGGGAAAAACAGCCCTAGCGACCTCAACAATAATGGCATGAAATTGTTGCGGTTTTGTGCAAACAACGCGTTGTCCATCATGAACACCTTCGAGCATTAAAAAGTGCATCAGTACACCTGGAACCGCGAAGCTTCTGCACAGAAGTCGATGATCGACTTGATATTCGTATCGTGTGACTTAAGATGCTCAGTTATGCATGTTCGCGTAAAGAGAGGCGCAGAGCTATCAACCGATCATCACCCTGTTGTTGGCACGCTGCGCTGTAAGAGATGGAGTACCATACGAAGATCCGGTGGCAGAAACAACCGGAGAATCAAATGAGAAACGTTACCTTCGATAATGAAGAGAGCAAATTTGCAAACAGCATCGCACGACGGTTTGAACAGATTCCAGTGATGACAACTGATATTGAAACTGAGTGACAGCTCTTTAAGAGCGGCATACTCGAGGGTGCCGCCGAATGCTGCGGATATAAACGGGTTGGCCTGCCGCCTGGAGATCAGAAAAGCACTTCCTGGTGGACGCGAGAGGTACAACTGGCAGTTAAAGAGAAGAAAGGCAGCGCTCGAAAAATCTCTTGGAAACAAGGAGCCATCTACTCGCGTGCGATATGTCGAGGAACGCAAGGCGGCAGCCGTAGCAGTGGTAAAAGCCAAGGTTGATTCCTAAGAGAAGTTCGAATTTCTACACGGCAAACAAAGTATTCTGGCAGACCATCCGCCGGCCCCGAGGTGAAAGGACGGGGAATCTCGGAGTCCTATAGATCTGGACACCTTCCTACCG